TGTTTGAGAATCAATAGTTTGCATTCCAGCAGAATACAGAAGAAAGCTAATTAGCCTTTATAAAACTAATTCATTAGGTTTGCAAGGCAGAGCAAACGCTTAAGAAAAAACAAGCTACTGGTAGCATGCAAAGGAGAATACCTTTCTTCTTTGTGTTTTGCAGAAAAGGATGAGCTTTGAAAACTGTCATTACAGATGCGGCAACAAAATAAGTCAATGTTTCGTTTTCATTATGTCTGCCTCATTTTCGTTAGTTCTGTATAGGCTTTTTGAATCTTTATGTTGACTCTGAATTTGATTTTTCCTCCAGTATGGAAAAAATGATTTATGGTAGAGCAAATTTATTTTCTTTTCACCTGTTTTACACAATAGAACCTGGGCAAATTGGATTTCACTCATAGCTCAGTCACAGGAACAAATTGATGTGCACTTCTATTCATAATGGGCATGAATACATCTCCTGATATCAATTTCCGCTATGCCTTTCCTTAAGGTTTTCTCCTCATTACCTAGATTCCCTCAGCAAAGCCCAGAAAATAGTATAAGTGGCTTTTATATTGTACAGGGAGTCCAAGTTAAAATTGAGCTCCACAGGATGCGTAGGACATAGCGTGAACATAGAACAGCATTTTGACATCCATGAGTGCACCCAATTTTGAAAGGCAGTTTTTGATATGAAATGCTAGTCCTTATGACTCATTAAAGTAATGGAGACAGGAGTTCAGAGGATGTATATGCAGATGTTTTACCCATGATAACAGCTTTCAAAAAGAAACTTACGTAGCTGCACTACTAAAATTAAAAGCCAATTTAATCTTGCTTTGATGTGTTATCTCTCTTAGAATCGTGTTTCTTGGCATCAGGGAGACACTGGCTTTTAGTCTTTGTGTCCAAAGTTCCTGGAAGTGAATTTTCCTTGTGTGTATCATCTAACATGAATGTAAACGTGTCATTCATTTTGTGTAATCTACAGAATACATAGTTTTTTGAGCATTTTTGAGCATGAGTGCTGTTGAAGCTTCTGTGTGTCAGGTAAGCGAGAAACCTCATTTGAAGCACTGAGAGCACCAGAAATTAAGAAAGGCCTTCTCAGAGTATTTCTTTTACTTACTGATCAAAAAAACAAGTATCTTCTGTAGCTTTTTGGTTAAACTTTTCAATAACTTTCTCTGTTTAATTAGCCTGCCCAAAGAATTAGTTCAAGACTGTCTTAATTGCATTTAATGCTTATTTATTTTCACCTCTGTTTAATGTACTACTGCTATTGAAACATTGACCTCTGCTGGGGGTATGACCAGATTGACAGTTGCGTGGTAATTAATGGGTGTTTTGTGGATGTACAAATAGTTTGTTGAGAGAGTAACAAGATTACATTGCTGTTCCTTGGAGTCCTCCAAAACTGTAAATATTTAGCTGGCAGTAGATGCCAAAACAAAGATTAAGAGAATTTGCTGTCCAAAATATCCTGATGGGTCCAGACCTACCATTCTGGTGTTCGATCAAGCAGAACTGTCCCAGCCAGAAACAGGATGATTTGACAGTGTTTATATCCCCAGTGATCTGTTATATATGGCTCTAATTAAAAATAATCCCAACCTATCAAAAATGCTTTGTTTCCTGTTACTAAACATTCACAACTACATTGAGGTGTCCACTTTTGCCAGCTGATTCTTATAATAAAAAGAGGCTTCAGTGGACGATACGCCTAAGGGTAGATTTTTTCAGCAGAGAAGCAGTACAGCGTAAATCCAATTAGCCAGTTAGGTTTTGCGTTCTCTCTTTTCTACCACACACAAACTATTTTGTGTGACTAGATCCTTGTAAAGGCTTGATTATGAATTTTTCTCTCACTTGAAAAAATTATTTATTTTTTACATCTGAAAAGGTACAGAGCCATCTGTGGATCACAACCAAAATCCTTTCCAGTTGCACATGGCGAAGTAACTGGGCTAGATTTCAAGAGGTTCGAAAGGGACTGTGGAAAGTGCAAATGAACCCTTATAACTAAGGATTACTGAGTGTTGTCTAACCTTTGATACCCCAGATAGCTTCAGGACTTCATAACCTACTGCACATAGCTAGCGGATGTGATAAAATACATGTGTAGCCGCCATGTGCCTTTACTTTCTTCCTTCATTTAATATAAGAAATGTAAAATCTCTTTATAAGGCACATAGTGGTGTGCAGGCACATCTAACACCCTATGGTCCCCATGTATATAATCTTTTCTTTATGTTGTGTCTCCATGCTTGCCTGATTTTTGTCATGCGTTAATCACACTGAACTGTCCCCGAGTTCATTGTTTGATAGTAAAATTTCTGCTTCAATTCATGATATCGCCACTGTTTATTGTATGCAGACATGCTGTTTCACTGGAAAGTAACAACTTTACTATTTGCTAAAAGTAAATATTTGAGGGATAGAGATTAAGTGATACAGGATTATCTTCTACAGATTTAACATTGTTGAATAACAGTACATTAGTTGAGTCTGTTTATAGTTGCATTATGCATGAAATACTTGATGCTCCTTCTGTTTCATCCCTAAAATGTAAGCAAATAATCTCATTTCGTAGATTTAAAGAAAACATACAAAGCCTATGCTACTGTAGTGGTTCCACAATGGTCAGAACAGAGCAGGCCTCCTTTCTTGTCATATATAGGTGAGAACTTCTGTATGCTGTTTAATCTCCCTTACAATAGAGTAACCATGTAAAAACTATGTTTATCTTAGTTTTATATTGTTAAAGGCTGTGTTCTGATTCAGTTCCTTAGACATTGGCTCTGTTTGGAGTCAGGTTTTATCGATAGTGTATGATTTGCATGAGTGTTGAGGTTTGCAGGATGTTTTTTCACTGTAGAATTACTCCAAATCTTTCATCTTCAGCCTTGCAGACTACTGCTGTGAGGGCAGTGTTTTGTTGGTTCAATACCCTTCTTGATGGAGCTGTGTTTTCCCTAGCTGTGACCACTGGATAATTCTCTCACTCTCTGTGATCTCCTTGTGCAGCTGCAAGCGAGGAGGGGTATAGCAGGTGGACAGGAGAATGTCAGCTCCTCCCCACCCCAAAAGAAGCTACCGATACAAAAAATTAGTCTTGCAGGAGAGGTTAAAAATAAATCTCGTGGAAGGAAACAAAGCAAAAATAAATGACTATCTTGACCTGCCCTAGAATTCATCGTTCTTGTTGCACACACTGCAATAGTAGAGTACTAGTCCTCAATCTGTTTTAGTTCTACAAGAGTCTTGTACAGCACTATTCAACATCGTGAAACTTCCTGCTGTAGGAAGAAACCTACTTCATTCATTTAATACTCCTAATAGTTTTAAAATGTTTGGATTAGTATTACATAAACCCAATTCCATCCTGTTCTTGGGAATGGTATCCAAAGGCAAAGAATACATTTTGTTGCCTTTATGTATATATTTAAAGTGCATTAAAAATTTGCAACTGAAAATACTTGTGAAAAAGCTGGAACTTGGTGTGCTTGCACATACAGGTATGGCGAGTGTAATGTAAGAATTAATGTCCTTGTATACATATATGAATTAGAAATGCACTAGCATGGAAATTTTATAACTTCTCTTTGAAGGGAAAATATTGTTTCTATCTGAAACTAACCTAGACCGTTGAGTAGTGTGAGGGTTTAATACAGGGTGTCATTTGAAGGTACAAAAGACTGGAAGAGCCTGCTCTCTGAGTCCTGTACAAATGAAAAAAATCTCATTTAAAAATGAGCAAGACTTACTGAAAAAGAAGAAACTGGCAAGAGAGGAGACACTGCTGGAAGTGTTTCCCTGTTGAAAAGAATGGAATAGAGTTTTCTGGGAATGAGGAAGGTGTTTCTGCTAGGAGGAAGAGGCACAGTGTGTGTGAATCTATGGGAGAGGTGAAATGCAATCACCCTTAAACATGTTTAGAAAGGGATGTGTTGAAGTTTCAGGAAGGACGCTGTCACAGGGCTGTGGATGTGTGTGTGTCCATGAACCTAGCCAGGCAGGATGTTGACAGGGATTTTATGCTGAGCTGAATATGGAAAGAATCAAAATACTGTTTGTATCTGAAGGTCTCACTGAATAATTCCAGTCCAGGGTACTGTGTAACCTTACTTGAGCAGTTCACAATCTATTAATTTCTTCATGTGTATTAATAAGCTATTTGTTCTTTGCAAGTGAAGGTGTAATCAGAGGTGAGAACTTCAGGCTCTCGGATTTTAATCTGTTTGTTTTGGGTTTTTTTAATTCCCTTTTGGAAGTTTTTGCTAACAGCTCCAAAATTCTCCTGTTAAGCTGCATTTCAGAGATTTAAGGTTTGAAGCCCTAGCAATATTGTCTGTTTGCTACACACGAAGGTTAAGTTTGCTTAAAAAAAAATAACAGGTTTATCCTAGAAACAGCTTCTGAATTTTGTTTTAATTTTGAGGGTGCAGGGTGTTCTGGAAAGCTGTTTTGATCTTACACATTTGATTTTGGGAGCGGGGGAAGTGGGTAGATTTTAAAGAGGAAACTGTTCTTTTTTATTTATTTTGCATGTCACACTGTTTAATTCTAGATGCCCATGAGAAAAAATAGAATTAAATCAAAGGCACAAGATGCCAAATTCATTTTAATAAGAGTTCCCTGAAAGCCTGAAGGTGACAAACTTCAGGAAGTGTTAGGGAATATGTGCAAGCAAAAGGAAACTTGTGACTTCAATAAAGAAATCTCAGCAACATGCCCTCCGAGGAGTCTGTAACAGCTCCTCAAAAGATTTATACCATCACACTGCTTGAGCCCAGGCATGCCATACAATGTGCTGTGCAGCAGTCACATGGAAGCATTGAAGACGGAAGAATCTTTCTGCCTGTGACCAAACGTGCAGTGTGCTGGATTGTCAGATAGCTCTCAAGCCAGATTTTGTCAGCGTGACCACTGTCTGGTTATTGTCCTTGCACTGCAGCTGGTTCAAGCTGGGCATGAGGAAAATAAAAACCCTGTCCTGCAGTTCTGCTGGTGTTAGATGGCACGGAAGGAGAGATTTTTGGCATGTGTAGCTGTCAGCTCACCACACGGGAAACTTTCATGCGCTGATGCACATTGTGTGAAGGTTAATGTAAAAACTCCATGTCGAGTAGCCAAGTTTGTCTGGTGGAAAACCTTAGGGCTCACTGTTGCTTGATAAGGCTGATGTAGCTAGACTAATGCTAAAAGACTGCACGGGGGTGAGGGGGCTGTATGTTGTGTATAGTCTTTTTGAACATAAGAGTCAGCCTGCCTCTCTTACTATCTGACATAGGCAATCATTTTAATGAACTAGAAACACTTACAGAAAAATAGCTGGAAACAAGAATTGAAGACTCATTTCAAAAAAGTGGTTGTTTATTGCTGGAGATTGATTAGGTGTAAAATATATCTTATATTTAACAGGCTTGTTTGGTAAGCAAAACCAGGGCTACTTCAGTGGTTCTGAGGCAGAAGATCCATAATAACAGGGTTATACTAGGCCCCTAAAGCTTTACTTGTTCCAGACCCAGATCTGATGAAAGTCTCTACTTCGCCTTCCATTTGAAAACTGGAATATATTAAAAAAAAATCATTATAAGCCTTTATATCTCACCAAAGCTTTCAACAGATCAAATGTATTTTCCAAGATGAAGATAAAACAGAATGTTAGTTTGTGAAGCATTGAATCATTCTGTATTTCAACCACTTAATGTACTTCAAACACACATAGACAATCAGGACAAGAAACCAGCTTGGAAATTATAAGCAAATTACAGCTCTTCAAGATATCCTATAAATTTTTTCCCCCAGCTGCATTTAAATAATAAGAGCTCTTCCTTGTTTTGGACATTGTTGTTTTCATGTCTGCTTTGAAACCATTTATCCTAAATGTAAAATTGAATAGGCTAGTAATTAGAGCATTTCAAAGCCATGTCTGAACTTTTCTGGTAGTCCTTAGCTGCAGAATAGCCTTTGCATATATCTATTCTGCATAAAATTCTAACCAGAAGTTCACCAGCAAGTTGGGCAAATGCCATCTAGTGATACACATAGGAATTATAACTTAATAATGTGACTTTCAGATGGAGACATGTGATACTCACCGAGTACTTCTCATATTAAATAATTTGGCCATATATATTTATTTATTTCAAATGTGAAACTTGTAATTTTGGTTAATTTTTCTTTAATGTTTCATAACCTGAAAAATTGTGCAAAGGCTTTTCAATCAAATGTAATTTTTGGTTACTAAGTTTTCCATCTGTAAGGGGCAAGGTAAATTCTTTAATGCTCAGTCATTATCTGTGCTTCTGAAAAGATTTGCCGCCTGTACTTAGTGAGAACAGCGTTCTTTTAAGGGTAGTTCAAATGTTATGACACACGGTGCTGGTTTTAGGAGCAGTAAAATGCGAATTAGTTCATGAAAAAAGTATGTTTTGACTGATTAAAACTCATTACACCTTAATTATATATCTGTGTTTCTTGGACAAATAGTCTTTGTGGTTTTGGTATCAGGAAGTGTAGACAGATATGCTTTCTGGTGGCAGATACAGACATCCCATAGCTGAGAAGTGAGGTGAGATTGCTTTGAGTTGACTGTATTTCTGTGGCTTTTGGATAGCCTGGCTTCTTGTGTGATACCCAGCAAAATTACTTTTGTAATTAAGTTTGTTCTTAGTAATTCCTAAGGCCCCTGTAGCAACCTGAAAAATCTTTTCACGTTGAGTGTCTCTCCACTAGCAACTCCTACAACAGCCTTTCACAATGAATGTATTTATCTATGAGGACACTTCCAGAACCAATTAAAGCTGGACCAATTTAAGGTTTTCTTTGGGCATTAGGCTGCACACCTGTAGCAGGAGAACCAATACTTAGGCTGGATTTTTTAAAATTAGCCAATACAGTATGGTAGATTTGATTTTTTAATTATTATTTCAGTAAATTAAACATATATGTAAAAATACATCAAATACATAGGCAGAGAGAACTCTTGTTCACTTTGGAGATAGTCTGAAATCTGAAGTCCTTGTGATATAAAAGCAATTTACATGAAAAAAACTATACAGTCTTTTTCTTCTATACATTGTGAAGTGTGTGACTATACAACTGTGAATTTAGTGAGAGGCGTGAAAGAAGAGAGAATCATTACTTACTGGGGGAGGATTTTATTAGGCAGAATAGAGTTATGCTGCTGGACAAAGTGCATTAGATCCCTGTGAACTGTTTAACAGCTATCCACAACAGCAGACACCTTTTAAATTAATAGACATGCTCAAAACACAAAGTGGCTGTAGAGGAAAAGCTTAGAACAGGGTATAAATGAACATCCAATGTAGTGGCCACTAATATCAGGTTGCACAGTTCTGTCTTTGCTAAAAAGCAGAGAAACATCTTTTTGTTGTGGAAAATGCCAGAGATGATCCACTTCTAAGGTCTGTTCAGTTGCTCATTTTACTAAATATTGAGTGTCTAAGTCGGACATAATATTTTCCTATGAGGAATGCTTCACTGTTCTGCAGAGAAGGATGCAGCTACAGTGTGAAGGGGTAGTGTAAGTGACTGGTGTAGTTGGGATGACCTGATTGGAAACACGTGTGCCGCACCTGGCAGTGCTAAACAAGAGATGACAACTGTAAATCCTGCCTGTTGTTTAAGGCTAAAAGTAGGGACATTAAATTGTCAGTAATTAATTATAGCTTTATTGAGGAGTTAATTATTACAACTTTTCTGAGTGCAGAAGGCTTCATGAATGTTACATGTGGAGGCTTAGTAACTGAGATGCAGTGTAGCATTTCCATCCTGACACAGAGCACAGTGGAAGATACTGCATTATAAGCAGAAATGCTGATACCCTCCTGCACCCTGCATCAAAATGAATATCCTACTTAGTTCCAGTGACTACTTCCTCAGGGAAAAGGAAAGGACTACTTTCATCAGGAAAAGTCAAAGCAAAGCAAAATACATTCCTGTTGGCACTAGTTGGAATGGTTCTTAGTGTAAAAGAAAGATGAAAAGAATGTGTGCATTTGAATAAACTGTGGATATACTGAAACTGGGACACTGTTTGGATGACACCTCTTAAAACATGCCTAATCTCTTATGAGGCAAGGACTACTTGAGCGAAAAGTGAACTCAAGGCAATGGATATTCTGACAAATCAGAAAATGGTTCTTAAGCAGTTAAAGGACTCAATCACTTTTGTAGCAGTGATATAGCTTTAATCATAAGTGCACAATTAAAAGCATTAGAGCAAATTGGTGGTAGTGCATTTCCCATTTGTAATAAGAAGATGGTACAAAGATGCTACTTGATCATGTGTCAAATCATCTGGAAGAGTTTAATTTATGTTTGTATTGTTGGTCAGATACATTGGGCTGTATCAGGTTCCTCAGCCATGTGGCCTTGCACCACACAGAACACAGGGATATGTTGGGTACAGGCTGGCATCATTTGCTTTGTAACATGCGTTGTATAGCTTCTTAGTATGGGGGTTTTCTTTAACTTTGTTACCAAATTGGCAAATCTCTGACTTTATCACTTTATCAGTCCATCAGTTATACCATTACCTGGGTTTTGAATATATCAGATAGATGAAAATCTTTTGTAGAATATTGAAACATGCAAGGAAAGCAGACCTGGAAGTTTCTCCTCTGGGGTAGATTTAATGATTTCAAACATAATTTGATAAAGCAATTGTCTCAACTGCATCCGAATTGAGAAGCTGCTCTTAATATTTTAATTTCAAGGGAATAATAGTGACTGGCTAATTTAAGCTTTAGAGTGATTGCTACGCCAGACTCCCAGTTGAGCTCATTTATGTCAATAGAAAGACTCCTAATGACTGTATCATTCTCCCTGTTTTTCACTTTTTCAGTTTAACTTTAAAGCTATAGTTGTCTAGCTATGACTCTTTCTAGAATTGAATTTATTTGATTGATTTGTAGAAATATTGGCCATTATCCTGTTTTAGGAGATTGAATACATTAGATCTGAAAAAAAAAAGAAGCCATTGGGCATAATTCATCAGCTAGGGGAATTTTTTCCACAAAACAGTCCAGTACTGGGGTATTTGTTTCCTTCTGAATGGCAAAAGCCAAAACAGCTACCTGGTCATTGTGCTTGAATTACTTTTTCAGCAGAAAACTTGACAAGTGAAATTTTGAAAAGTTCTGTTTCAGAAGGAAAGCTAAAGGTCTCTTTAAAGTCAGTTTTCCTAAGGGAAAAAAGCCCTCTCAGAACAGTCAAGCACTTGCTAGGAGAACAGGACTGGGTTAGAGCTGTTAGACTAATTTAGCAAGGAAATGTAGCAAATTTTGTTCGTAGTGAAGCATAAAATTAGATGAGACTAAATACAAACATAGCTCCTTTGATTCTCGTGGTCTTTTTTGCTTGATACTTATTCCATCTCTGAAAAAAAGCGCTTGGCTTTAGGAGAACTGATGAGTTGCACGATTACAGGATTCCAAACAGGGAAGAATCCCCCTGTGAGTGCCTGCTGGAGAAGCAGCATGCTTAAATGCTGAACTAAGAATACAGTGATTTTGCTGGTCTGCCCCTAGAAAAGTATCGTGAAGAAAAAATCAGCCAGACAATGGTCATGAATGCCCTCAGAGGTGGGTGGGAGTGAGGCAGATGTGCCAGTAGCTCTGAGAAACACCTCTGAGGCTGTTGCACAGACCAGGTCTGTTTGATGGCAAGAAGCAGGGGAGTTCAAAGAGTTTGGATGGGAAATAGTAGTGAGTGTGTCATCCCTGGCTGCAGGTCATGCTGTCTGCACAAAAAGAAAATTCTAGCTGTCTATTCCTCCGCTCCTTAGTATTTGAATACAGTGTTTTAAACTGATCAGGAAATGCCAGAAAGACAGACGTTTGAGCCTGGGCAGACAGATACAGGTCTAAAGCAGAGAATTAGATCAGCAGATGATCATTGTTGAGATAAAAGTTGAGATTGTATTTCTGAAAAAGATGATTTCAGACAAGATTTAGAGCAAAAGAGTCAGGGAACTGAGCCCAGAGCCTGCAGAGCCCCAATGAGTACAGTCGTTCTGAGGGCCCTGAGGGTTCAATTAACCTTGACAGCCTGGAGTCTCTTAAAAGGAGTGGTACTTACAAATGAAATGCAATGAAAAATTACTACTTTTAAACTATTGGCAGTTTAAAACCTTGTCTCGACAGCAAAACCTACTCGGCAGACACCTCTAAAATGCTGTACACTAAATGTGCTGTAAATTTATTCTTCTGGCAGGTTTATTTCTTCATTAAATATTTATGTTAGAAGGGTTTTAGCATATGCATGACGTTGCTGTAAATTGAGTTAGAAATTTATCAGATTAAGTCATTTTTGAGTCTAAAGGTCTCATTGTTGAATGTTCAGTCATTCAGCAAAGAAGAGGAGACCTACAAAGAGCAGTCCTCAAAGCAAAATGTAATAAATTTAAAGAGGCAGCTGTATTTTTCAGTCAGATTATATAGATATCTGTTTGGGAATCTATTTATTTATTTATCCTCCTTCCCTGTTCCTCTGTGTTGCACCTGATTTGGTACACTTTACTCATCCTGTTCTGTGAGA